CCACCCATCTTCAAGTGGCCAAGGTTGAGAAACACTGGTCTGATACTGAGTTTTATGTGCCCTGCTTCCGCATTTTATTTTCCTCTGGTGCTGTTTTTATTATATTGTCATTTGTGCTGTAGACTTTTAGAGTCTAAAGCACAAATAAGGTATGCTAAGCTGCTTAGAATCAGTTTTCATTAGAGTGGCATATAAGCCCTGTAAAGTAAAGTAAAGTAAATAAACAAACTAACAAAACAGGGTCAGGGACAGAGCTCTACATACAGCAGTTCTGACTGGGGCACTACCAATGTTAGTTCAAGTACCTGGGGAAGCCCATCAGGAATTCTATGTGCATAGATCAACATACTGCACAAGCTCAATATCCTGTTAATTCATTAACTAAAACATTCTAATCCAGGGAAAAGACTAGGCCATTCAGGTTGATGTTGATGAACTGCATCAAAGCACAAACTGAATGCCACCTCTAGCACAAAGCAGGTTAAAAAGAAGTAATGCTAATTGCATGGACCCTAGACTTGCTATGGTTGAAGTTCCCTCACATTGGAAATAGGGTGTGAAGGACATTCTCTCCACTTCATCCTGCTTCTCTCTGTTCCAGAGAACTGGAAACTGCTGGAGAAACATGAAAAGGTGTCATGAGTAAGAAAGAGCAAGTAGGAAAAAAAAGGAGTCAGTAAAAATGGCTACAATTTTGCATGTATCATGCTTTCAGGAAGCTTGTCTACTGATAAAACCAGATTTGGAATAAACATTTAAATATGAAATGAAATACCAATGGCAGTAAGACTGATTTTTAAAAGTCTACATTCTTTTAAAACTAGCATACATTGCATATATTCACCATTGCTTGCACAAACATGTTCCAAAATAACAAATACTGCTCACTATTGTTCTGTGTTATAGACTGATAACTTCAATTTCAGTATTTGAGCTATTTTAGAAAACTATAAAAATGCTGAAAGTGGTGATCAAGTACCTATTCCAATATACAGCAAGTTAAGGTGTAACATGATTGCAGTCAAAACTGAAAACTTAATCTAGCAGAAGAGCCTGATATGTTAGTGTATTCCAAAAAGTGGAATCTTAGCTTTTGGTCAAGAGACATATTAACCTGAAAAGGCAAGCATTATGCAGCATTAAAAGTGACATTACACAGTATATTTTACAATTACTCAGTGATCTTGCCTGTGTTAGGTGTACTATTTTTAACATGACCATAGAATGAATTGGTTAAATGAATGGACCTGCATCCATGTCAACTTATCTTTGCCACAGATTCATATACACATAGATGTAGTGCAAAAATTGATTATAGATTAACAGTTTCTGAGAACACATTTAAATATGAAATTAAAAACTATCAGGGTGACAAGCGATTCAGTGAACTATTTCCTTCCTCAGCTGTAGAAAGTTTGACAGTTGTCAGCTTACGAGGAGGATGCTGAGGGCTCTTGCGAAGATTATCATCCATCTGCAAAAGCAACATAAAGGCCAGTTCAGATATCTGAATAAAATAACTTTAACAACATTGTTCACATTGTAATGTTCAGTTATTTATTTTACAAGGTAATTCGCAAGATACACAAAATAGTGCAAATTTTCTGAGTTCAAGGACAACAGACCAGTTAATGAGTTCAATAAATCACCTTATTAATGTCATGTATAGTTTTTTTTAAACTTCAACAGCTTAACTGCAATTGGCAAGCATGTTGTTTCTTGTTTATTCATTAACAGAAACAGAGATATGGTCCTCTAAAGATTACCTTGTCTTATGTATGAGATACTTTTTAATGAATTTCCCATCCAACTCTCTGTAATGCATCCCTCTTTTCATCACTGTTCTGCTTCTGTGGGCATGATTCATTCAGCTGAACTGACTAAATACCATTTCAGTTACACCGAAGTTTACAGAATGGCATCACACATCATAATACTATGCCAGTAACATAATCTGTACATTTTATAATGTCATCACATGAATTAGAACGTACTCTCCAGTTTATCTGCAAATTTCTTTTCTCCTCTCACAGGGAGTTAAGTGTAAAAACCATGCAGCTTCCCAAGTCAGATAAGAAAGCAGTTTAGAAATAGGTGGAAAAATGAAAGAGAATACTCTTGACTTAAAGTAGAGTTAATACTACTTTTTCCCTGAGATCAAACAATGGAGAGCAAAAAGCACCATTAATGAAGTTAGAATATCTGCCAGTAACAAAACAGGAAATGAGCTTGTTAAATGTTTATTTAACTACAGAGGGAAATTAGAATCTATACAGACAGCAATTTTGAGCACTGCCCAATCATTTAAAAAGTTTATGTCTTCCACTGATACTGACAAACAGCAGAATATCTGCAGTTATATAAAGCAAACCAAGTTCTGCCTTCTGCCAGACAGAAGCTAAAAATCTTCTGCCTAAAGTCATGCTTAAAAGAATTTGTATCTGCAGAGAGAAACAAATACTCAAAAGTTGACTGCTCTGTCTTAGTTGCCAACCTCCCTCCCCCCAAAACCAAGCTATAGATGATTAATTGCATCTAAATGAAAAGGCGAAGGGATAGTGACATCAAATGGCTAGATAATTTAATTCTGCTTTTGGTTATTCTTTTTGATTATCCATCTCAACCTGTTCTTATAAAAGACTCTTCAGGGAAAATACATCACTTGATCTGGATAAATAACCAGAATTAAACTCAGAAGGAGCAAGTATCAGTAGTGTACCTCCCTCTATTAACACTTCAGTTTAGATTACAATCTGACAACTTCTGTTAGGAGATAACTGCTTCTAATGATCTTGATTGATAGTCACTGTATTTATGGAACCTCTCCTTTATCTCATGGAATATTACTGGATGATTTACTTCTGATCTTTATTATTTACCTAAATTTGATGTTTATTTCTGCAAGAAACCTGGGCACTGGGATAGTTGAGAACAGGTGGTTAACAGTCATATTGGAATCATACCTCCCCTAATGAGACCCAGGGGTGGTTTAGGGCTGTTAATTTCAAGTGGATGTTATTAAGACACCCCTTCATGCTCACTGAATGCTCACAGTGCTGCTGAAGCTTTAACACTTCATTAAAAACTCATTAATTTATATATGCATTCACAGATCAAACATTTGTGGAGATATACATTGCTAATTTCTTAGTATTAAATTATACCCTTCTGTGTATGTAATTATATGGGGTGATCTAAATGCCAAAAAGGAAATTTAACCCTACTAACTAATCACCTGAGCTCCAGGGAAATCATTGTTCCTATTGTACTTAGAACAATGTGTTGAATTCTTTCTGGGCACTGCATTTTAAGAAGGGCATTGATAAACTTGAGGATGTCCAGATGAGTGCAACCGATGATAAGGGACCTGGAAGGAAAAACTTAGGAGGAATAATTGTAGGATTTCTATATATTTTGCCTGGAGAAAGCTGTAGGAAAACATGATAGCTAGGTTCAAGTATCTGAAGGGCTTTCATGTAGAAGATGGGGCAAAAATGTTGTTTAGAAAACAGGACAAGAAATAATGAATTTAAATTACAAGGAAGTAGATTTCAGTGGACATCATCAGTGGAAAGAAAAAAATCTCAGCCTGATTGAGGCTTTTCTATCTAATTTGTGCTGCCCCTAGGTTTAGAGAGAGCTAAAGCTGAAATCTACCAGAGTCTTTGACACCACATGACAGATGGATGCTATAGCCAACTTTCAGCTGTTTCGAATTGAAATCTTTTATATCTACAAACTACTTTTTCAACATTGTTGGCCTAGCACACTATAGAGCCTTATCTTTGGCTCATTTCAACACCTTACCCCAGGAGTATTAGATGGGAGGTAAAGTAGGACCCCATTCATTGAAAGATGCTGTCCTTGTGGTTGGCATGAACCTGAAACCCTATTATTATTAATATAATTATATTTTGATCCCACCTTTTTTGATTACATATGTACAGGCAGTCCTCAGGTTACTACCACTTGTTCAGCAATGGTTCAAACTTGTGCAGCACTGAACGAGGGGGGTTTACGATGAGTCCTTGGAATTCTGGCCATCACAGCGTCCCCACAGTCATGTGGTTGCGATCATTGCAATTTCCAATATTCCCTGCCGGCTTCCCTCAAGTCAATGGGGAAGCCAGCAGGAAGTCGGAAGTGAGGTCCTCACTTAACAATCTGTACAGTCCTCACTTAACAACAGCAACCTGGCAGCGAGGCTTTTATATGCACAAAGGTGGGAAGACTTGACATTACCTACAATGGAAGAACGGATGGTGAAGTTGATGGAGCTGGCTGAGAAGCCGAAGCTGATGGTTTTGATTAGAGAAAAGACACTAAGTAATTTTAATACTAATTGGAAGCCTTTTTTGGACTTTTGGCAATGAAATGATGTATTGATTCGATGACTAGAAATAATATTGGACAATAGAAAAAATGAAAGTTATGTTGTAAACTTAGAGTAAAAGTTTGGTGTAAATTGATATTTATATCTGTTGTGAGGAAAGTCAGAAGTCATTCTTTTTTGTACTTTTTTCTTCTTTCTTTCTTTTTGTACTTCTGATTTTGTTCTTTCTTTTCTTTTTCAATCTTTTTTTCCTTTTTCATTCTTTATCTTTAATATCAAATTTTGTTAGTTTTTATTGTTCTTATCTTAAAATCTAATAAAGTTATTTGAAAAACAATGATGGCAACCTAGACTGCCGGAACTGTCATCACTAAGCGACATGGTCACATGACGTCACGCTTTATGATCACGTTGCTTAGCAATGGCAATTCCAGTCCCAATTGCCATCATAACCCAAGGACGAGCTGTAAAACTCAAGGCGGAGAACATACCTAATACTCCTGCCTCCTATTTTCTCCACAACAACCACCCTGTGAGGTGGGTTGGGTTGAGTGTGTGTGACTGGCCCAAAGTCACCCAGCTGGTTTCAAGGTGGTCTAAAAGTCTTCTGGTTTCCAGGCCAACACCTTAACTACTATACCAAATTGCTCTCTATTGTGTATATTTTTTCACTACACTACACCGAATTATGTGCAGACATACTTTCACCATCACTTAACAAAAACACAATCTTTTATGAGAGAGAGGCGATCCATTTCCTATTTGCAGATTGGAACCCTACCATCACCGATATGGTGGCTAAGTTTCTACTTTTAGTGATTTCCATAAGAAGGCATAAGATGTCCTATGTTTTATATTGTTTTATTATAATTTATTCAACTTCTCTTTTCTTGTTTTTATGTCTTAATTTTTTAGGTTTTATATGATGATTACATTGACTTTGAAGCATCTGGCCATTGCTTCTGAGGTTTTTTTTCTTACCTTGCTGGTCAGTAACTTTAGTTAAATGAATTTGGCTTCTGTGGAGTGAAGGGTCACAGCCAGGTTTTGGTGAACTACTATAGGTGAAGCAGCCTGCCACAGCCCCAGAGCCTGGGAAGCCTATGCTTAGTCACTATGTCATAAGCATGGCAGTCACTCTTGTTAATTCATGACCTGAATGTCAGTCTTTGATATAAAAAAAAAAATCATGAAGCAGCTGAAAGGGGATAAACCTTGTATATTAGCATAATCACTTCATTTTTTTCATATTAATACATTACTTAGTTGCTTGAAAAGAGTTGGACTTTCATGTCCTTAAATTATCTGGGATATTTTTATTCTGAGCCATCCAGTGTCACTAGGTGATGACTATATAAATGTATATAAATAAATACATAGATCTATATTGAAAATGATATTGCTGACTGCTGAAGACAGAGTTTGTGTATCCATGTTTAATTACTGATTAAAGTTAAAATTTCTCCTAGTTGAGCTAGTTCCTTTAGAATTTACTGCTAATTTTTAGTTGAGTTGGATGAAGATCTCTTTAGAGAATTTGTTTTCATATGTCTTTTGCCAGAATTCCTACTATCTATTTGTCTATGAAAAGGCTAATGAGACCTTTATAGAACATCAAAATAGTTTAAACATACTCAAACGTTTCAAATGTTGGAGGCTGAATCACAGCCAGAAACCAACCTTCAATATTTTACAATTTTAACTATCCCCAAATACCGAAAAGCATTTTCCAGGGGCTGTTCTAATGCCTGGCCATCTGCTTTGTTAGATGCTAGATTTAATAATATTCCATTTAAACACATTTGTTCTACTGACTCTGGAACTACTTAAATCATTGGCTGCACTTCCCCATATTGCATTTTTATAGAAATATACATAAGGACAATTTTATATCTTCCCCAATGTTCAGATGACTTTTTTCTTGTCCTTTATCAAATAAACTGAAATCATAACTTGTTAGGTACTAGATTCTAAGTGCTAGTTAATAAAACCCACCCAAAGATTATAGTGGATCTGCCTGCACCTTAAGTGGCTTATATTTTTTATATATATTGAAGAATTTTATGTTGGTTATTATGTGGCTTGTCCAGATTGTACCCAAGTTATGTATTTACTTACCATGGAAGAAAATACAATCAACTCAAGTACTGCCTATCCCTCATTTTTAAATAAAGCACAGATGCTGAATTGTTAAACTTACATAATCTAATACTGAATACTATCAGTCACTTCAGAACCTACATTATTGATAAACAATAATTCAGGGTTCACTTATCCAGGACAATGGCAGTTTCATGTATCTGTGCAACAAAACTGCTTCAGTAAGGCAGAGAGAATGAGCTAAAGTTCCACTATTAAAAGGAAAAGCAACACAAAGATGATGAGTGGACAACCATCCTTCTCTCGTTTCTTCCCTCCTGCAGCCCGTCTTCTCATATGTTTCTCTGCAGTGAAGGTCACTTCAAGCATCAGAGATTGATTAAAATAAAAGCAGATGAAACCAGATGCTTTAGGAAGCACCCCAGCACCTGGGATGGGTTCTGCTCTCCTCATTTCGGTGCCCCTTTCTAGTTCTAATTCTCTTTCCAGCTGATTAAAGACAAAATTACTATCATCAGGGCTAATTTAATTCCTATCTATCAGTTAGAAAATCAGAATGAACAAGAACCTTTTCAATCAAATTAGATTCCTTGTTCACGAGCTGTGTGAGTTTCTGGAGATTCGCATCAACTGTATCTTGACCCTCTGGAGAGGTGCCTAAATAGGCAAGACACACAGGAAGAGAAAGAAAGTTAGGAGCAACCAAAAATCCTTTTATAAAACCTTTCAAGAATTTTCACAGGGAAAAAGTGGCACATACTGTATGCTAATAGAGTCCTAAGCCTTTACCATTTTAAAAGCCCTTAAAAATTTATAAGGCAGATTCCAAGATTTCTGGTGAAGAATTTATTTCCAGTGTAGACTTAGTGCCAACAAGCATTTGTAGATTTCAAAACACACACAGGTGTATGGACAAGTGTAGCATTTACCTGAGAAGTTTCGTCTAAAGTAGCAACTCAGAATATCATCACAGAAGCGACATAAATTGGGAAGCTGCTTCAGATGCTCTTGTAACTGGACTTTAAGGAATGGTATTTTATAAAGAGGAGCAAGAAAACCAAACACGAAGGCATCAAGAGTTGTAGGTCTAGATATAATAAATAGATGACACTATTATCTCAAATCTCTTTAAAAACTTCTAGAAATAGAAAAGTGAAATGTTATGTTTGAAAATTCTCACAGGCTGAATTGATAAAAACGTAACATGCTTGACTATAGAAATCTATGATGTCATTATTTCTAGCAAGACTGTATTTTGTGATAATGACTACAGATTACCTTCATCGAATGGGCTTAAACCAATTAGTTACAACCTTCAACTAAGCAGTTTGCAATTGGTTGCAGGCTATACATATAAAGCAGCAGTTTTTCTGAGGTGTAAAGATGTTTACAGCAAGTAATATCAGCTGTCATAGTGTCAAATGGTCCTTATATAAAGGAATTGATAAATGAGTAACTCTGTGCCAGACTTTGATGCTTAGAACATAATCTACATTTCATCAATCTATGTCATCAAACTAAAGTTTGCTTCTTATATAAAGCTAAACAGATAAAAGCTGCTCCAGTGTAAATCTTTACCATAGTGCCCCAGGAAACCTAGATCAGAACTTACACAACTTAGACAAGTTAGATAAATCTCTTCCATGGCAGTATCATTGATTGAGATATGCTAAAGTATTTTTTCTGCACATCAATGTAATTATGGTAAAGATGTAGGATGTAGGAAGACAGCATCTTGAATGCTATACAAAAAACAACATCACTTCAGCATGCAGTGCACTGAAAATGGAAACACACAGAGGGTGTGAAAGCAGGATCTGTGCAGATATGTCCTTAGAAATAACTGGACAGTCATGGTCTGGTTTAATAATCTAAAGCAATCACCAACAGCAGCATAAGAAAGTGCCCTAGCAGGAAAGCAGATTTAACATGTAAACTAGACTACTGTTATCTACAATTCAGTTCTAAAAAAGTTCCGCAAACTGGAAGGGTTTTTAGAAATTTAATATTATTTTTAAAATGGTAATCAATGAGTCCATTGCCTGCTTGAAAGAGGGAGGAAATGATTAGATTAGGTGTAAGTAACCTGTTGATGATCAAAGGCCATACTTTATACTGTACATGGTGTGTAGGTGACCATGCATATGGCTCTTGGTGATTAATTTGGCTTTTTGAAATCATTGTTAAACCTCTTTTAGAGCTTACACTATAGATTTCTTGCTTTTTTTGACTCAAAATAGTGGAAAACTATGCCACTGATATTCAGTGTGCAAGTATGTTATTTCATACAGAAGCCAACCTTACCTACTGAGTTCTTTTTAAAATTATTTTTGATTAGTCATTTAGTTTATGGTGATCACTAGTTGAATAAGAATTTATATTAAAAGCTGGCAAATCAAAAAAAATCTTCCTAATGTAAAAAGTAAAATAAAAACATACTTTTAAACACAAAATATAACAGCAATTTAAAAAAGTATAAATATTCTGTACTCACTTATTTCCAAAGAAAAATGGAGATGAACCCAGTCTATTTGACAGAAGATTCAGACATTCCTTTGCATCTCTGTAGATCTAAAATGGAGAAAAGCTCATCTGCACAAAACTTTTCCAGGTACTTATTTCAAATCAATGCAGTGTCTGCATAACAAGCAGGGAAATACACATTATTTACATTATCTATCTATATCACAATGTTAAAGAAGATACAGCTTGCTGTGTTAAATATATACCATTACAGACACTGGCATCTGCAGCCAAACACAATGGTACCAAAATGATGTGCAGATGATGATATCATCAGGCAAATGCCACCATCACACTCTTGCGTCTCAATGTTTAATACAACTACTTAAGTTGCAACATTTGCATGATAACACTATCACCCACATGCTGTCATTTGCTCCTTCATGCAACACTTACAGAATATCTTTATTAATCTTAAAACAATTCTGGGATCTTGTATGTCATTTGTGGAAACATACAAAACACCACAGTTGTACTTATTCCATTATATACTATCTTATTTTCTAAGCTTTTACAGGATTTTTCTTTCTTGCTGATTCATTTTATTACCATATTACTCCTACATACCAAGAGTAGGAAACCTGCATTTCATTTTGAGGCAGGAAAAATAGTAAAATTGACGTGAATGTCATACCACAGGCTTGCCATAGTTTATAAAACTAAGAATCCTCCCAAAACTAATGAAAAAAAAAATTAGCTCCATGTTGCATCGCTGTTCCACCTACTAAGTTCCTTGAGCTCTCCAAAAATGTTGTGCAACCCGCAGCCACCAAAAAGTTGCTCATCCTTGATAACCTAATTTATTTACCATAATTTTCAAGGAAGCTACCCCTGAATTTTGTAATGCTTCAGTTTATACAAAATGCAGCAAAATGTATATCTTGAATGTATTTTTGCACCTGAACAAGCTGTCAAATGTATTAATAGATTTCAAAGCACTGATGCTAAAATCAGAGTGCTATTTTATGAACCTGCCAATTTTGACTAATCTAACAAGTTCTTCAAAAAAATCATACTTAAAATCATTTAGCATAGATCAACTATGCCTTACTAATAAGAGACTCTGCGCATATCATACTGCAGATTAAGCGCTGCGGCACACACAACTCATTTTGCCCAGTAAGCCACAATGTGTAATCAGTGATGCAGTAATATCACCAAAGTGGGTAGGGCCAAAGCATTCATTTTGTTCTTTTCAGGATGTTCTGGGGTGAAATTGCCCATGCTGCCTCTTAAACATTTCCATCCACCAAAAAAAACCCCAAATCCAAAATGTTAGCCTGGGGCCCACAGTGTACTGGGGTTTGTGTGTGGCTCATGGGCTGCCTGTCCCTGTACTATTGCTTTGTGTATCATGTTGGTGGGCTGTAGGAGTTAAAAAAAAGGTATAGAATATTCATTTATTTGTCTAATTTATATAGCTGCCCATCTCACAAAGCCAGTGACTCTGGGCAATGTACAACAGAGCCAAAACAATTAATAAATACCTAAAACCATTATCATTATTAATTATTAAAAACATTAAAAATTATAAAAACAGAGCTAATACAAAAAACAAGAACCACCTCACTAGTTCACCTGTCCCCTGAGGTCCCCAGGTCTGCTGACATAACCAGGTCTTAAGGGACCTTCAGAAGCTCAGAAGTGATGAGGCCAACCTGACCTCAGGGGGGAGAAAATTCCATATCGTGGGCACCACAGCAGAAAACAAAACCCCACAGATAACTAAATCAGGCCATCTCTTATTTTAAGGGACACCCTAATTCATATTAACTTCTAATACATGTAGAGTATCAGAAGATATACTGCTCAGAGGTCTCACGAAAGCAGTAGGAACGATAGCAACACAGATAAAACCAGTCTGTGAAGCGGTTTCGCAACTGTAGACACTTATCTAGCACTATTTCTGTGGTGAGAATTCTCTCCTACTAATGCTGAACAGGTTGCAAAGAATGTTATGTAGAAGCTCTGGAAAAATTTCCTGTATGACAACAATTGTTCTCACTTATTGTTTTAATTTCTATTTTGAAAAAAGCCCATGAAGTGCTTTGGATTTGATTCCAAAATAATGCTTTGGAGTACACAGAGGTATAAACAAAGCATTTGTCTGCAACTCCTTAAAGCAGTTGCATTTTTTTTTCTTAATTTGTATAGCACCATATTTGATTAAACTTATTTTTAATGTTAATAATAAACTATTTGGGAAAGTGCAGGGGGGGGAGAGATTAAAAAAATAACAACTGGTTTAGAAGGCAAATGGGCTGATTTTCCTATACAGCTCCACCAAAAATCAAGGTGCCCTCCTGCAAAATTAGGCCCCTTCTCATACATACTGCATGTGGACACAAGAAAAGATTATGTTCTGTCCTGATAGAAAGGTAAATAATGTCAGACAAAACAAGACACCACTACATTCTGAAGATTAAACATCTGCCGCCATATAAAGTAGAAAAGTAAACAACATTACATTTATCATGAAGTTTTGGTATATCCGCATCAGTTTTAATTGACTAAGAAAATTTACCTGAACTTCTACTTCAGTGATGCTATAGAGTGGAGGTCCTCCCTTTGTCAGCAAGATCCTATTAAGAGCTTCCCTGGACATCTTTCTAGGCAGGTACCAACTCAATGGAAATGGAATCCTTGAAGCAAACCATGGTTTTGTCACATTATAGTAATTATCAGCTTCAATCCAAAAAGTATACAGCTGCACCATGAAGACAAAGAATGTTAATGTTCAAGAATGAAGGCACTTTCTATAAAGAACCACAACATTCTTTTAATTTTTAAAAACTAAAAGCAGACTTCATTGCTGAAGCTTTTATCTCTAGATCAAAATATAACAGTTTATAAATACATACAGTAGATAGCCCAGATTTATGATTAGTAAAATTCAGCACATTTATTATAATCAAATGGCTAGAAATAGCATTTTTCTTCCTCTAAGAGCATATTCTTCCTGAAATATCATTTGTGTAATTAGGTAGTAAAAGTAATAAATTTGAAAAACATACACGGTAACAATAGTTGAGCACATATCACACCAACATATGACTTGTTTTGAACATGGTTGCTGAACAGGCCATAGCAGTTTGGTTCAAACAGAACAAGCCATAATAGCAGGGTTCATGAATCATGCTAACCAAAATCAAAATAAACAGCATTATGATCTAGCATGATGTGTGAATGCAACTTTAAAATTCCAAACAATCTTGTAATTAGCTAAATGATTATGACATCACAGGCTTCAGTTTTACAAATTGCAGACAGAAATCCACACAATGAAAATGTCAAGAACATTTGTAGTTGTTCTTGCTTTGTGCCATTTCACAGGCAATATAAAATCCACTTATTTTGAAAACAATATAACTAATAAACTACTGCTTACTGCTGCTGCTTGATTAATTTCATTTGTTTTTCTACATTTGCAGTTCTATGTTTTGTATGACCCATCTAGAGAAAGCATATAAATATTTTAATAAAATAAATGATAGTACCCTTATACCTTCTAGTTGTCCTTTTGAAAGATTTTTAATCAAATCTCCATTTACAGTCTGAAGTAGCACAATCCAGACTTAGGTTGAACCATTGTTTTTATGAAGTAGGCCGTACAATTGTAGTTTACAAAGCTGATTGAGCTTCTGTTTCAGATGACTAAATTAACCTCATTTTCAAGTATAAATTTACATGTTGATTGTAAAGAGACAATTCCTTAAGCATTTCATAGTGAATACACACAAACACCAATCCCAAATTAAGCCCCATTAATTTCAATGATAGAGAAGAGGAGGAGGTTGCTAAGTTTTACAATCAAATTCAATTTAAAATTAACAGAACATGCAAGCGAGATGTGCTGCTTGTGAATGGAGATTGAAATGCCAAAGGTGGAAATATTAAGGAGGAAAATGTTGTTGGATTGTATGGCTTAGGAATCCAAAATGAAGGAGGATACCAACTTATCAGTTGCTGCCAATCTATGATTTCTTTATAGCTAACACTATCTTCCAACAACCAAAATGATACCTGTATCCATGGACAACACCAGATGGAATAGACAGAAATCAAATTGACTATATTATTGCTAAAAGAAGATGGAGGAGTTCAGTTATAGCATCAAACACATAGCCAGATGCTGAATGTGGAACAGATCATGTATTGCTCATGAGCAAGTTCCAAGTTAGGCTACAGAAGAAGAAAGACAGTCAGTTTCCACAAGACTATCTTGAACATGAACACACACACCCACACACACCATTTTGAAAAAGAACATCAGGAATCACTTTGAAGTCCTGAATTAATTGACACAGAAACAGAGGAACTGTAGAATGGACTTAAAGAAATTGTTTAGGATGAAAGTGAAAAGATGAAGAAACAGAAGAAAGCAAACTGGATGTCAGAAAAAAAAAAGGCAATTGCCAAGAAGAGTAGAGAAACCAAAGCCAAGAAAGACAAAAATCTCAGGAAGGAACTTAAGAGTTTCAGAGAACTGTTAGAAAAGACATGAAGCAGTATTAAAACAACATATGTAAAGACATCGAAGGTGCAAGCGGACAGGAAAAAAAAGAAAATCTTCCAAAAGATCTCTGAAGGGGGTTCCAACCTCAGATTGGCATGCTAAAGGATGCCAAAGGACAAATAATAACTGATTCAAAGGAGATCAAAGAAAGGTGGAAGGAGTATATTGAAATACTGCACAGTAGACATGTCAATATCCAAGATACTGTAGAACATACTCCCTATTTACAAGAATGTTTAGAAGATGAAGTTAGATCAGCACTCTGCTCATTACCAAGTCAGAAGGCTACAGGAACTGATGGAATACGTCAAGCAATACGTCAAGCAACGTCAAGCAACAAAAGAAGAATCAGTAAAAGTTCAAACCAAGCTATGCCAGCAAATCTGGAGAATGACACAGTGGCCAATAGACTGGAAAAGGTCAATCTACATTCCAATACCAAAAAAAGAAGACTTAGCATAGTGTGCACACCTATCATACAATATCCTTAATTTCACATGTTAGCAAAATAATGCTTAGGATCATCCAACAAAGATTAGAGCCCTACATGGAAAAAGAAACACCAGATGTCCAAGCTGGCTTTAGAAAAGGCCAAGGAACATGAGACATTATTGCTGATGCATGCTGGATAATTGAGAAAGCCAAAGAATATCAAAAAGAAGTTAGTAAGAGATCCATTGATTATAGAAAGGCCTTTGATTGTGTTAATCACATCAAGCTGTGGAATGTGCTTAGAAAAATGGGGATCACAGAATATCTCATTGTCCTAACACTAAATCTATACACAGGTCAAGAAGCCACAGTACAGACAGAACATGTTGAAACAGATTGGCAAAGGAGTGAGACAAGGATGTATCCCCTTATTTATTCAACCTATATGCTGAATATATATTAAGGGAAGCTGGATTGGAAAAGATGAGTGTGGTTTTAAAACTGGAGGAAGAAACATCAATAACCAGCACAATAGTGATGACACTACTCTTGATAGCTGAAAATGAAAAGGATCTGCAAACTCTAATAATAAAAGTCAAAGAGTACAGTGAAAATTAAAATTAAAACTAAAATTTTAACTAATGACAACAGGTACAACAACCAGCCTTAGATTTGACAATGAATATATTATGCTACTTCGGACACATTATGCAAAGACTTAGCTTTCTGGAAAAGGCTCTAATGCTGGGAAAGATGGAAGGAAAGAGAAGAATAGGATAATTAGCCATAAGATGGATGGACCAGTTACAGTGGCAATGGTTACACCACTGGAAGACTTGAAGGACCAGGTTAGGGACGGATTGTCATGGAGAAAATCTATCTATGTAGTCACTAAGAGTTGACTCTAACTTGATGGCACATAATTAATCAATTTCAATGAGAAAACTCCAAAATATTAACTTTGGCACATGCAGTAGCTCTGTGTGCCTAATCTTAAGAGTACTATCCACTTATTCTTAACTTAGTGCAAACCTATACAGACATGAAATTTACTGGCCCATTGCTGAACTTTATCCTGTCTTTTCTGAGTCACTAGTGAATTCAGTATTGTTTATGTATCTGCAGTGCATGCTGGACAAAAGATTGGCTGAGTACCGCTTTGCTCCCCTCATTTTTAAACGTGTTGCCAAAGTCAGGACAGCCATCTGCCAATCACGCTTCTGCAGCAGAAATGGAAAGGGTGCAACACCGGGCCTCTGTTGGATGGCTTTAAGCCAGTTTGTGTGCTGTTGCTCCAACAAACCATTCTGCATAACAGGTTTGTAAAGTGTTAACTCATTCCCTTGCCGTTTTTCTGAGAACGATTCACGGTCCTTCATTTCACTGTCATGTTACTGCAGCCTTGCAGAAACCAGTAAGGACAGTAGAAAAAGTATTCACAACAATATAAGCTGAACGTTTTAGTGCCATAGTGCAAATCCACCCAACTTCTGACATAGCTGCAGGTCCCTTGAGTTGCTCCAGGTATACATCCAATGAAACACGTTTCCTTTAGGATGAGTTTGACCACAAGCACCCACCCTTATAGATGTATTTACACCAACACAGAAGTGAGGAAGTGATTAAAATAACTCTTTCAAGCCCATTAGGAAATGAATAGCAGAATGGTGACAGAAGAGGCTTACTAGGAACGGAAGGGGAGAGATGTGCCCGCATCACATGGAACATCTAACAAGCTCACTGCTAATCACCTGACTTCACCTCCATATCAAGGACAGTGAAACATACCAACCTTGCTGGGTCACAGTGAGTGGGAAAACATTACTTCCACACCGATACAACTTATGTACAACTTAAGTCTGTCAGTCACACTTGTGGGCCAGGGACAAGAGGAAGGCAATAATGTGGAGACAGGGGAGGAAATGACTGTACTGTGGTTAAGTACAAGTTGAGAGACTGTTTCTTACCATAGCAGGATGTAGTTTTTCTTCAAGCAGTGCAATATATGCCAGTGTGTCAGCTCCTTCCTTTGAAGACAATTCATAATCAGCATTATACTTCTGCCAATAAAAAAAGACAATGAAGAGTCATATGAAACTTTCTAAAAAGTAACTAGATGTAACAATTTGTATTTCACTAAACACATGGAATAATAAATAAAAATAGAGTTTCCATCTTTATTTTTCCTTAAAATTGATTACAGTATTTCAAAATATATATGATATTCTGACTATAAGCTTGAAATGCCTTTTTGAAATGTTCTGAATATGGAATATTCTGTTTTCAGTTTTTGCTTTGAGACTGGAACCAATGGGCTTTTTGAGAGTTCTGATGTCTATAACTGGTTTGTGTTTGTCATTTTTAAAAATTTCTTTAAGCCAAGGAGACTGGAGAATGCATTAGCCAATGAAACAGCAGGCAAGGTTTCATCTCTATTGCCACTGGATGGAGCTAGTTGAGGGGAGAGCAGGTGGTGGGGTGAGAGAGAATCAGTTAAAAAATGAATTGGTATTTGATGGTAGGTAAGTTAATTGCTGTTTTTAATTTTTTTGCTTTGAGGAAATTAAACTACTTGGGTTGCAATATAATACTATTGTTCCTATGGCTTCTGTATGTGTTTTATTTTTCAGGCATGTTACCAAATACCAAAGTGCATACTGTGCATATGCATTCCAGATTACGTTGTTGTGCTGCTCTCCTTTCAGATTATTAAATATAAAAACAATGTTGCATTGTCTGTTTGTTGAATTTTAAAGGCAGGTTATCAGGCCCAAGCAACTAACAGAACTACCTACTCTCATTCAGTCCTTCCTACTTCTTAAAACATCAGTGGGGCATCTTCAGCAAGTCTCATTATGGATACATTTGACGTCAAGAGTCAATTATCAATTCAGTTTTCTCTGGTGGTGGACTCCATATTATAAAATAAATTGTTATTGAAGTTGAAGCAAGCTTGCTTCGAACTACAGATAAGGAAGCAGGTCAAGCTATATTTTCTCAGCTGTTTAATGACTTATTTTAACTTTCATATTTTGTATCAATTAATTGATTTTTTCCAAAATGGATGCTAATTATGTTTTTACTGGGTTTTTAAAGATTTTTTTTATCCCGCCTTTATTATTTTTATAAATAACTCAAGGCAGCAAACATACCTAATACTTCTTCCTCCTCCTATTTTTCCCACAACCCACAACTGTGAGGTGAGTTGGGCTGAGAGAGAGTAACTGGCTCAAAGTCACCAGCTGGCTTTCATGCCTAAGGCAGGACTAACAGTCTCCTGGTTTCTAGTCTGGTGCCTTAACCACTAGACCAAACTGGCTCTCTTTTACCTATAGGTTGCTTGTTCAGAATTCTTATCTGTTATATATAAATGTATATCTGGTTTCATATACATGTTCTCAACCAATATAAAATGTTCCGTGTTTATATATTATCAGGAAGCCTCAAGGTCATAAGCAAAAAAGCATATTTTTGCTGTTGTATTATTTGTGAAATATCCTGAAGTGACTCTATTCTTTTTAGTTCTTTGTTGGCTCAGTTCTAGGGCTGTCTAGGTAGCCTGCAAAAGGTATGTATAAGTGTTGCTTACATTGATTCAATGGGAATCTCTAAAATATATATTATCATCTTGGCCAACCTTTCGAAGATTGGGTAGTATAATAATAGCATGAACTACTATTTACTATATAACAAGAAAAAGGAAGAAAGCAGCTAATTTCTAGTTTCTATTGTTCTATGATGGAACATTCAAAACATTTCAAATTGTATTCCATCAGAAAGTTCTGATGAAATTATGGATTTAGGAGACACAATTCGGTTCTTCAGTGAATGTGCATACCAAGATCCAATTTCAGAGTAGCTTCCCACAGGAGTAAAATATAATTCTCTCTGCTGACCAGATGCTATAGTACAAATCAAGCCGCAGCTATTCCTAACTGCTTCACCATCCAGGAATTTTACTTTAAGCAGAAGCCTGTGATTTGAACAAGACAGCTTGCTTTCTCCTGGCTCTTTTCTATGCTAGTTTCTGTTAGCAGAAGAGTTAAACAAAAAAAAGAAGGAATTCCAAATGCCAATAAAAAAATGCTTTTTATTTGCTCTGATATGTTTCAGAAAATGTGTTCTTTTTCAAGGACACTTCTGGAATGTCCATGAACTGACTCTGTCAGTTTGTTCATGGACATTCCAGAAGTGCCCTTGAAAAAGAACACACTTTCTGAAACATCTCGAGCCAAATAAAAAAACTTCTTTTTACTGGCACCTGGGATTCCTCCCTCTCTCTTTTGTTTACTTTACTGCCTGCCTTTTCTTTAATTGTTTGGAATTCTACAAAGCCTGACATAACAGCAACCAGGAAAGGGGGAAGGCATATCTCAGTATTAGAATATCAGCTTCACATGCTGAAGATCTCATGTATCTCCAGGAGCACTAGAAAAACCTTTGCCTGAAAATCTGCCAGTCAGTGTCAATAATACTTGCATAAATCTGACTCAGTGATGAGACAGTTTTCTAGGTTTCTACTTGACTCCTTTAGGGACAGATTATCTAGTCTGATTCTATTCACTCATATATGCTAGAAGAGAAGACTACAATTTTAGAGTTTAAATAGTATTCAACTTTTCTTTCCACATGGACATTTCAGACTGTTAGGCACAACAAAATGTTTGCACGTACCCTGTTTCTATTACATTCTATTATATCATGGGGCTATCAGCATTTCTTAAATCAAAACATATTTTTAGGGCATCATGAAGGAGCCCAGGAAAAGATGCAGCTTCTTTGATGAATTACTGACAGGTGTGATATACACACATATACACACTTCAAATCACCTCTTCCCCTTCAAATCTGGATTACTGTACAACCTTGTATCATACAGTGTTAATCAATAAAGTGAAGAAAATCAAGAAATATAATTTTCTCCTTTCTTATCCTTTTTTTGCTTTGTGTTTCTGAGATTGTAAGACTGATAACAGGAACTTGTTTTTACTGATCTTTTATAAGCCACCTTGAGTCTTTTTAGCTGAAAAAACAGATTTAAAATGCTTTGAATAAATCTGCCAATTTGCTTGGAAGCAAGAATGTATCTTTAAGCATATATCAGTTTGCAGTCACTTCATGAAACAGTGCTATATATTACTACCACCACTTAAATTAATCACAGATTTGGATTTTATATTGCTCGCAAGAGTTTTTAGAATTTGAAATACTATAAAAAATCTGGCATAAATTCAGCCCATACCCTTGGATATTCTTGATTACCCTGTCACAGATTGTGGTAGCTAAGAATCAAATTTGTTGATATTATCACCTCTGTATTCTATGAAAATGGCCCCTTCATGTTGTAATCTGTAAACTTAGTTCTTCCTGTTTTTAGAAACTGGATATTACTTCTTACTTTAAACAGGTAGCAGTGCATAGAAGAACAAAGATAAATAGAGACACCGCAATCCCATATCCTATGAACACCAATGCAGAAAGATCTGTACTTTGTAGTTAGTATCAGTGCTAACCAATGGATGTGATATAACTGGAGAATCTTCAGTTCCAAAAATTCTACTTCTCCATTATACCCCTAATAGAGCTATTGTTTGTAGTAGTCCAAACCTGATATAACTACAAAGTTATAAAAAAGTACAAATAGTTTACTACTGATACTGTCCATTTAATGTAGAAGATTAAATGAACGGGCACCAGTTCCTCCGGTATTCCTGGGACAATAACTATATACTAACAAATTTAAAACAAGCCAAGAGTATACTGTCTTTAATCTTTAAACATACTGAAATAGGTAATATTATTTATGAAAACCCACCTGTTTTCTTAAAAAGTTTAATATTTTTGCTGGCTGAGAAATAACAGTGTCATCTGATAGCAATAATGGTATACTCCCTAAAAAAGAGTAAATCAGACAAGATCATATAATACAGAACGTAACTGTATTAATGGTAACTTAACAGAGCCTAAAGTTTGATTGTGTCAGATACTGATCAGTTCAGTATCTAAAGTCTGGGTTACATCAGATTGTTATCTCACCTTATTTGTCATTTAATGTTTATATTCAATTCATGCTTTTGTAATAATGCTTGTATTTTGTACCTTTGATAATGTATCAGTGTTTGGATAGGTCTTGATTCTGTTACTAGATAGATATAATAACTCTAAATGTTGACAATCTACTATCTTACCGTAATTCCTCGTATATGATTCATACGTAGCCTTGCATAGTGCAGTTACATTTTAAACAACAGAACTGCATCAAAGCAATTCATTCAATATTTTGCTGCACTTGCCTTGCAACATGGTGCTGGTATAAAACCAGATTCCATCCACTGTTTGCTTTGTCTAACAGATTACAAATCCGGACTATAAACCAAGTCAAACCATTTTCTTGCTTAGCTATTTAACTGTCTACATATATGTATTTAGTATATACATTACTTAAAAAGTATATATGTAATCATTACTTAAAATGTTGCATAAAAGATAGCATACACTTTTAAAATACTAAAGCAATACCTCTTGGTGCTTTCCATGCATTATCTATTATGCTGACTTTCAATGGTGCACCTGAAAATCTGGCATAAGTCTGTAATAAAAGTAAAAAAACAAAACAAAACTCAATAATGCACCCTTCAGAGTTTTTTTAAAGTGAAAATGACTAGTAAGCTTGGAAAAACAGCAGCTACTTATTTCATTCTCAAGGTTCATGGTACATACTTGCATTATGCTGTTGCCACAGTAAGCATCAAAGCTTCAGTAAGCAATAGGAAAGTATTCATTAATTCTGTGAATTTCAATGGGATAGCAATTGGCCACCAGAAGAGAACTAGGTTAAAAGAGCTGTTTCTAAAATATATTGACCAACATTTAGAAGGCAAATCCATTTCACGCCCAAAGATGTTGAGTCCCGCTTCATGAGACTGTAAATATACACATATGGAAATGGAAAATATCCATTTGCAATTTTCCCACAATATGAGGCTAGTTTATCTTTAGACAAACAATATAGCAGTCACAAATGCCAACACTCACTTTTTCAAGTCATTATTTCAGTACCCTAAAGCCTCAGAATCAGTCCTGAAAGAAGTCCAGGCTTCCAAATTAAATTACAACTTTCCCCAATCCAATGCCCTTGAATGCACTACACTTGCAAGTCTTATCAATCTCAGTAAGAATGCTCACAGTGCTACAGGATATTAGGATTTGTAGTGCAAGCATTTGAAGGGCACAAGTTTGGGAAAGGCAGTGTAACATTGTTTCCTGTGGAGCTTCTGTGACGTGCACAGAGGTATATCATATTTTCAGAGACCAGACAGGTAACTCTTTCAGTTTAGCCCATGCATATTTGCTCAGAAGCCAGACTGGTCATGAAACTTATTTTTATAATATATCAAGAGAGTACTTCAGACACATGGAATCTTGCGATATCTGCCAAAGAATGGATTTATTGTGGCGTAAGCCACCGCAGAATTAGTATTTGAGGAAAAAAGCCATGCTGGTCTCTGAAGAAAAAAAATGCAAATTCCAGGGTACTACCATCCCATATAAAAAGGAAACAATAAAACAAAATAGTCCAGAAATTTGATCAGAGGAAGTTTGCAGTCTGACGATGGAAAGTGCAGATCTAATTATATATTCATTAAATAGATGCTGCAGGTATCAGATTACACCAGCTTTCCCAACATGATGCTTTCCAAGTGTGTTGGATTATAGCATCCATCATCACTGTCAAGCACGGTGGCTGGATTAAATTAAGCCCGGCATTAAAAGCAATGCCTAATTACTCAATCTGGGAGCTGTAACATCACGTCCCTGCGATGCACCAAGCTACAGACCGCGAAAGCCTACGCCGCAATATTTAATCGGTTTTTATTTCCCTCCAAAACTGATGCCCCATTTATGCGGACTCGTTTCAAAACTTTCCGGGGAAGCCAGCCCAACCGCGGCCCTTGAAACTCTGAAGCTCCGCTTCCTCAGTTCCACTCCAGGGGCGGCGACCGTGCCCGCCGGGCCGGTTCTGACACCGGGCATACAGCAAGCAGAGGTGCACATGCCTCCGCTCCGCTTCCGTGGGACGTCGCCTTATGGCAGCAGCTCATTTCCCCTCCCCACAAGTCTCTTGGCTTTCGCTCGCGCGACCCGGCCAATCCCCCGTTACCATGACAACGAGGCTCTCGGCGTGCACCGACGGCAACCCCCAGTCGCCGCCCCAGCAACTAAGCTCCATTGAAGACGCCATGTTGACACAGTTCACCTTTGCCCTCGCGAAGCCCCGCCCCGCGAGTTATCCTCGCCTCCCCGTAGGTTGGGCGCTGAAGGTTGCCGCCTGCGCCTACGGCCGTCTGTCTCGCGGGCTAGTGAAGCGCGTTCCTGTGTCAAGAGCGCGCGCGGCCTCCCTGACAGGTACGCTAGAAAGGCAGTCGCCTTCCCCAAGCTGGTGCTCCTCATTAAGTTTTGGGGTGCAAAAGATGGGCGGCCACAGAGGGGAGCAGTGAGTTCGTGTTTTGAATCTCTTTGCTGCCATCTAGTTGTCGCCTGATTCTTGGCTCTCAAAAATCGGGTAGTGCTCAAATACGCTGGGCTTCATCTTCCCTTCTCCACAGCCAGCATCACCTTTTGGGGGATGATGGGGGTTAAAGTCCAACCCACGTGAAAGGTAATCCATTGAGGAAAGCTGCTGTTGCCGTTCGCCAAGGTCCAAAGCGAACAGCTGGTGCTGTTGAGACTGCTGCACAAAAAGCTTTTGCTTAGCTTTCAGAAGCTTCGTTTTTGACAAATTCATATTTTACGTGCAAAATAGCGTTAGTGAAATGTGGCGCAGCTTTGTAGCATGCATAGATTGGCAACAGACTTCTCGTTAAGGCCACCTCAGAGTTTTGTGTAGACTGTCTTGGCTCCAATTAAGGAGGAAGCTTCTTTGAAGATATAATTCAACAATACTCAGTTCAGTTGCTGGACTGTTTTCTCAAAAAAAAAAAAAAATCCCACTGAATTCACTTATTCACTGACCTCTTACAGCTTCTACGCAAGAAACATCACTGCAATCATCAGACGTTTCTTGGTAGTCTAAAAAAAATGTCATTGACTTTACAGCATATGTCACTGAAGCAGAATCTTATGGTTTTACTGCATGTGTCATTATCTGGCTTTAAAGAATGGCACTGTTTATTATTAATTTATGCCCTCCAGGAAGGCTAAGACAATAAATAAATGGCTATTTGTTAAGTTTATATCCTGCCTTTTCCCCAGGCATTGAAGTCAATACATATCACTTCCTCTTCCAGTTTTATCTTCAGATAGGTTGGACTGAGATAATGGCTGGTTCACTGAGCTTCCTTGGTTGAAGACGGACTTGACCCTGGGTCTTCCCAACATCAGTGCAATGCTTAAACATACAACATATTGGTTCTCCTCCTTTCTCTTCCTCTCTCCCAATTTTATCTCTACCAGAAGTCTGTGGAATTCTTTACACAGAGGGATCATCACAAGGCCTATAGCTTTGCAGCTAGAGGGGAAATGAACTTGGATTTTCAAAATTTGCAGATCATATCTCAACCTTTAAGCCATTATTTGTTTTAAATGTCCATTGTTTAAATATGGTTTGTTGAAACCCCCCCCCCACAATTTGGTTCACACATTATAAACTATAATAGCCTGGATTGTACAACTAAGCCAAAACCACACAAGCACATTAGGGTAAGGATGATGTATGAACCCAATTTTTTACATACCATTCCACAATCTAAAGTTCTGTAGCATACTAGATGAACATGAAAAGTTTTCAACACCCATTGTTTCAAAAAAACAGTCCCTCAGAGAAAATGTTCTGCAACTTTAAAAGAGAAGATTTGGGGGAAAATATCTGGTACAAATCTTGAGGACAGAAGAAAAATAATGATTACATGGAATACATACAGTATTCTTTGCAACATATTGTATTGAGTCAGTGCTACTAACCATTATAAGTTTTACGGAGAGTTTATAGTCTTCGCAGAATTACTTAGAATATTTTGTGGTTTCAGTAAACCCCCTTTTCCTGGAGCTATTTTTCAGTTTACTCCTTTCCCACCATGGATACAAAAATTCACAACCTCAATAGTGAAGCAAGTAAAGAATACACAAAACCATTTGGCTGTTTTTCACATTTCTGATGAATTAAGTATGTACATGTTTAAGAATTACAAGTTAACCTTTGCATGTGTTTTTGTGGATCATTTTTCAGTGCTCATCTGAAGATGTGAGAAACTTCTAGTGAAGGGAATTAAAAGAAATGAAGTGAAAGAATTATACGTCCATTAAAGTGACTGGATATATGAATTATTTGGTAAAGCAATAAAAGGGATCTTATATCAGAAGCAGAACAGTTAACACAATACCAGTAGTTACATGTTTGTGTGTCTTGTTATCTGGCTAAGTTAATGGGTAAATAAATAAAGTTATATATAAGCTCAATTCTTAGTTACATAATAACCATTATTTCAAGTAAACATATGAATTATACAAAGACATGAAGAAGGTGACAGAATACCTTTGGGAAAACTGCTTTACAGAAAAGATTTCCCTCTGATAGCCGCAAAGTAGGGCACCTAGACAGAGGACTGATTTTTAGAGTTTCTCCAGAGACATTGCATCCTCTTGATATTCTCAGTGTTAATTTCTGTTTTCAATATTCATGTTCTCTGCATTACCTTCTAGTAACTAACAACTGACTTGTAGTTACAGTTTGACATGTAACCGCCTGTGGGAAAGGCATTTCCAAGGGAGAAATGCAAAGTCTGAAAAGGAATGATTTATTCCTAATGCTAATTGAAAGTTCCATATTTCCATACAAATGAAGATCTGTTTTTAAAATGTATAGATTGACAATTCAGAGATGCTTTCCTCCAAACCTACTTTTTTCCTCAATATTAATATTCATATTGGATAAAAACTATGTAGAAACTCAATAATTTGAGGAGTGCTAACTTAGCTAAGCAGTAAGGAATGCCTGTGCTAAAATCATCTTCACTTTCTTCCTAATGTTACCTTTCTATTTAACTCTTTTTGAATTACCTCTTTGGTACTTCAGATACAAATTCTACATTGTACATTTAGGAGGTAAACCTATACTCCTTTATTCAGGAATTGTTGTTCAGTCGTTAAGTCGTGTCCAACTCTTCATGACCCCATGAACCATATTGCACCAGGCCTTCCTGTCCTTCACTGCCTCCCTGAGTTTATTCAGGAATAAATCCTTTTAAATCAGTTGTATGTGTTAGCTTGCTGTCTTATTTACATGTTTATTATTTTTACACCTGCCTAAGATTCTTTCATTTGCTTTACCCTTTGTTCTCCCATCTGGTATTCTCCTTTTTGTCAAACTTACTAATAATTTGAAATAATTGGTCACTACTAGTGTCCAAGAAGCTATCAGCCTCTATTTTTTCTTTGTCCCCCAAAAAAGCTTTTTTAAAAATGTTTGACTTTAACAACAACAGTTTGATGTAAGGATTGACTGACTGATTCATTAGATGTGTAATTTGTCTTTCCCCCAGGAAGTCAAAGCAACACTCAGCACTCTTTCCTCCACTCTTTGTCCGCAACAATGAAAGGATAAATGGAGCTGAGAAACAGCGTTTGGCTCAAAGTCATCTAATGAGCTTCCATGGCTGAGGGTGGGCTTGAATCTAGGTTCTTCCTGGTCCTAGGCCAGCACCTTAACCAGGCTGCTAGACCAGCTCTTTAGAAAAATCACCTATACCACACTTTCTGATATTATCTCTCAAATCAAATAGATATTTGCATACACATTTATTACTAGAAGAAATAGAGTGTGAGATAAATTATAGATCTAGCACTCCAGATATGGCTGACATAGTACTCTCAGCATCTGTTGCTATTGGCCTGGGTGGCTGGGACTACTGGAAGTTGTACTTTAGCCACATCTGGAGGTTGCAAATTCCTCACTTGTACTAGAGATCAACAGTGGGAAATGTTTTTATGGCCAGAGAATGCATTCAAGATTTTTGAGGGTTGAGAAGTGCATTTTACGGCTTGCACTACTGTTTACCTATTTTCTTACCTCAAAGGTAAGCTTTGGCAACTCTAATGAAATTTCGTAGCATGGTCAGTGGCACACTCTTGGGCACAAGGATTTTCAGGTTACCATAATGGTAACTATAACTATAAAAGCATAGGAACTCTATTACTTCTGTATTTGGTGTAACACCTAGATCCTAGGTCACTATTTGCACTAAACAGTTGCAAGTGCTATCATTTAAGAACAAAAGCCAAAGCATAATACTCTTGCAGAATCAAAAAGTTGGAACTTATTTATATTACTATTGAGCACACAGTAGTTAGAAAAAAGTAGTAGAGTTTATGTATGTTGGCTCTCAGACCATGGGTTTTGGCACACCTCTGCACATACTGAAAAAGAATAAACAAAATTTAACATGTAATGCAGAAGTTGAATCCTGAAGATGGTGGAAGCACACAACCAGTTCACACAGTCTAGCAGCCCACATACAAACTTTTTCCCACAGTTCCCACCTATCCACACAGGAATTTCTAGGACCTGAAGAGATGCTGGCACTTGTAATAGTTAATTCCATACTAACTAAACCAGGGATAGGCAAAACTATTTCTGTTAAGGACCATAAATGCTTAATGATCTTCTGCTTGGGGCCACAGGCTGGGTGGGCCTACAGCAAGCAGTGAGTAGAGTCAAAACCCAAAGTATCTTGCTTCTGATGCTCACCTTGTTGCTCTTCGTGACATCCTGTTCCCTCTGTCCAGGAAAGGGGCAAGTAGTTCTTACCAGAGGTCCAAACTTGGCATGGAGGGATTGGCATTAGGCCAAGGACTGCATGAAATTAACTGTTGAGACCCAAATTGCCCACACCTGCCCTGGGCTGAAGTAATGGTCCGACTCAGCAGGAAACAGCCATGACTTCAACAATACTACATAAACACCATGATCTGTATCTCCTTACATTTGTACAGATTAAATTAAACTGCTCAGGATATGATCCAGAATAAGCAATTTGAGAATAACACGCCTGCTTTTTTCAGAACCATTTTTAAGAAAAGATAAAGGGCCTTTTGTTCTGTTCTAGGAATCAATTGTAGAACTTGTCTTAATCAGTTACACATTTCTCATAGCACTGAGATTTTCTTAAATAAAACCAATATAATCAGACCAATTTTCTGTGCCAAAGATGCAAATAGAAGTGTGTGACCTTGTAAGGGTTGAGTTGAAACTCATAC